TTTCTATTTTCTCTTTGAAAACATTTCGCTTCTCATCCAAGAAATCCACTACCCTACTCACAATAGAATAGCCTCCAGGCTTGAAATTTTGCGCTTGGACAATCTGGAACTGTACTGCCTGCAGTCCAATCTAAGATAGTACACAAAATTGTCTGCTACAATGGCTTACCTGTCAACTTCTTCAACGTCAACTACAATAATACACGGGGAAACGATCGATATAAACTCCAGGTAAACCACTTCAAACTCGATTGCAGAAAATGCAACTTCAGCAACAGAGTGGTCAATGCCTAGAATGCCCTACCTGACTCCATTGTTACAGCCTCGAACCCTCACAGCTTCAACTTCAAACTGTCTACCGTGGACCTCACCCCATTCCTAAGAGGTCCTTAAAGGGGGCGTGCATAAGCGCATCTGTGCCTACCGTTTCTATCTTACTGTCCCCATTTATCTGCATCTACTTCCTTTGTTCACGTTTATGTTCATACTTACACTTGTTATCTTGTACATGCTTGACAAACAAACAAACAAACAAACAAACAAATAAACTCTTCAGCTCTGAAGAAGAGCTGAAGAAGCTTCTTGGATGAGAAGCAAAACGTCTTAAAAAAAAAAAAAAGCAGAAAGGCCAGCTGCCTATTGAAAAAGCACTTTGGGGACTTCAACGATGGAGTACCAACAACTTCTGTTCCACTGGTTAATTGTTCTCACCGTCAGGAAATTCCTCCTTAGTTCTAAGTTGCCTCTCTCCTTGATTAGTTTTCATCCGTTGCTTTTAGTCCTGCCTTCTGGTGCTTTGGAGGACCTTTGGTTGGCCCCCCTTGGATCTGTGACTACATCTGACTTCTCTTGTGCTTACAGAAGCCCTGAGAGTAGATAAAGGTCAATTTTAGTGGCTTGTGAATGGGGCAGGGGGGGGCTTAATGGCATACTGTTCTCCCAAACCTTTCTATCTCCTCCAAGGGCCCCACTCACTTTTGCAAACTTCAATCAGTTGCTACAGCTGTCGAGTTGAAATAAGCACTCCTCTGCTATGAGATATGTTTTTTTTTTTTTAAATAAAAACGATCAACGGAAGTGTTTCATCTGCCGGTGGAATTTATCTTCACCCTTAATTACAATTGATCTTGACATAAATAAACAAATTGAGTTCTCTCTCTTGCTGAAACTCTGTTATTAAACACAAAGGTCTGGAATCTGCATATTTACGTTGGCCTAGGTGCTTTTTGTTATTCAGTTACAGAAAGCAATTAGAAGACTTAGATTAGAGAACTGATTAGCAATAAATCTAGAATATGACGGGTGTTTTTTTTTTTTTTTTTTAAAAAGAACTGCTGAAGAGGGGAGGAATTAAATTGTGCAAAGCTTTCAATTCTAGTTAGTATTGGCATGAGACATGTTGGTAAATGAGGTGCAAAATGTCCACAACCTCGCATTCATTAATGGAGAAAAGACCAATGTGTTGGTTTCCAACACAATCTGCGTGAAATTAGAAAGTGTTTCTCCTGTCTATTATATATTCTGCTATGTGTTTCTACTGCTTGTGATAAATCCTTTTGCACCTGTTCCATAAGGGCTCCTAAAACAGGTCCCTTACCCTTCCCTTCTGAACAGGTTACCTTTAATAACTCCAAACTGCTTCTTGCTTGGGGCCTCATGTTGCCATCACATGACACATGATGTGATGTTATGATGTCATTTCATGACATCTTTCCCATTCTAAGAGCTGGGATGGGCGTGGCCTGCACATGACACATCCAGCCAGCGGGCCACCAGTTTGACATCCCTGTTCTACAGAAAAGCCAATGCCATCGTAAGTTGCATTAACAGAGGGATGCAATCAAGATCCAGTGAGGTGCTAATACCACTCTATAAAGCCTTAGTAAGACCACACCTAGAGTACTGCATCAAGTTTTGGTCACCACATTATAAAAAATATATTGAAACTCTAGAAAAAGTGCAGAGAAGATCAACCAGGATGATTAGGAGACTGGAGGCTCAAACATATGAAGAACGGTTGCAGGAACTGGGCATGGCTAGTCTAGTGATGAGAAAAACCAGGGGAGAAATGAGAGCATATTCCAATACTTGAGGGGCTGCCACAGAGGAAGGGGTCAAGCTATTTACCAAAGCATGTGAAGGCCAGAGAAGGAATAATGGGTGGAGACTGACCAAGGAGAGATTCAACCTAGAAATAAGGAGAAACTTTCTGACAGTGAGAACAATCAACCAATGGGACAGAAGTTGCCTTCAGAAGTGGTGGGAGCGCCATCACTGGAGACTTTCAAGAAGAGACTGGACTGCCATTTGTCAGAAATGGTATAGGGTCTCCTGCTTGGGCGGGGTTGGACTACAAGGTCCCTTCAAACTCTATTAATCTGATATCTGTAATTAGGATTTCACCCCCCCCCCCAAAAAAAAAAGACTAAAATATTGTCAGGGAACCAGTGAAGATGACCAGAGATCATCTCTCGGGGACAGTCAACAGCAGCTTTTGAAGCCATGCCACAAATCTGGAAAATGATTGAGCTTTTTCTAAACTCTACTTCTAGCACTTTTGAAGGATCCCCACAGCCAAGGACACATGGACACTACCATGACATCAGGGACAAAGGGACTCAATCTTACTATTTGTTATAGTGCTTAGTAAGGTGTTTGTGCAGGGCTTAAAATTTATGCACAAAAATACCAGGAACAAAAAAGCTGCTTTGATAGAAATGATATTATCCTTGGAAAAGAAGAAGACAGGAATTTGAAAGAGAAAAATAGATAATGTTTGAGGGCAGATAATGAGTGAGTAGGCATATATAAAAGGTTAGATAATGTCTTCATGTTCACTGCTTCAAATCAAACATTTATTAAGGGTCATAGAGTATGTTAACGAAGATGATGTTATCCATTCAGTCATGTTTGATTCTTGATGTGTCAGAACTACCATCATTTACTTGAGCTTTGCATTCGCTAGCTGTCAATCTGCCATGAACTATGGGGGCGGGGGGGGAGATGGAAGGTGGTCAGGAGGGGGAAAGGCTAACTAACTAAGACCCATGGTAGCACAGTGGTGAGAATACAGTACTGCAGTACTACTTCTGGTGACTGCTGGTCTCCTGCAGTTTGGCAGTTCAATTCTCATCAGCTCAAGGTTGACTTCCATCCTTACGAGATTGATAAACTGAGGATCCAAATTCTTCGGGGCAATTTGCTGACTCTGTAAACCTCTTAGAGAGGACTGTAAAGCACTGTGAAGTGGTAATAGCACTGCTATTGCTACTCATCATTCCTTCCAGAGACACCATATCAAGGTCAAAACTCTGGGAATGGAATATAATGGCTCACCAACAAACCCATCATTGAAGGGACAATTCCCAAAACAATTTATTCAAATGTAATTGAACAACAAGGGACTAGCAAGGAGGGAGAACTGGATGGGGGAAATTAACCAGAAAAAATTGCCGTGAAAATTTCGATTCTGGTTTTTCTATACTGTAATCCACTTGGCTTTCAGTAAAGTAAACCTTTCACACCAAATGGAATTGAGGGTCATTCTTACTTAAGAGACCAAGTAGGGGCAGGACCGACATGATGATTCTATAGGCCAGGTCTTTCCACATCTTCTGATCTGGAGTTGTTTTATGTACTGGCTGGTATCAACATATCTCCATTCCTTTTCTTTTTTAGCACAAATGATCCCTTTTTCCCATATGTTTCCCCTACTTCTCCCTATTTTTGTGGATTCATTAGCTCTGACATTTTCTACGAACACTTTTCCGGAAAGAGCTTGAGGGAAATACGGCATACATTATTTGGTAGACTTAATTCTGCTCCATCAGAGCTAAAATGGCAGTGTAAAAGTGTAGCTCATATGGAAAAAGATCAGAGACATTTTTTTTTAATGGTTCATCCATTAAGGAACCTCTGCATACAAACGTACTTTTAATCTGTACACCAACTCAAAATTATCCCTTTGTAATCAAATTGTTTCAGGTAGAGATATGGTTTTTTTTTCCCCCAACCCTTCTAACTGTTTAGAAAGAGTGCAGAGAAGGACAGCAAAGAGATTAGGGGGATGGAGGCTAAAACATATGAAGAACAGTTACAGGAACTGGGTATGTCTAGTGTGATGAAAAGTAGGATGAGGGGAGACGTGATAGCAATGTCTATGCCAGTGTTCTATGCCACAGAGAAGAGGGAGTCAAGCTATTCTCCAAAGGAACTGAAGGCAGAACAAGAAGCAATGGATGGAAACTCACCAAGTAGAGAACCAACTTAGAACTAAGGAGAAATTTCCTGACAGTTAGAACAATTAATCAGTGGAACAATTTGTCTCCAAAAATTGTGGCTGTCACAACACTGGGGATTTTTAAGAAGAGACTGGACAGCCACTTGTCTGATATGGTACCAGGTCTCCTGCTTGAGCAGAGAGCTGGACTAGAAGGCCTCTAAGGTTCCCCTCCAACTCTATTATTCTGTTATTCATTCTCTCACTCCGACTTTCGGAAAGCAACAGAAAGAAACAAGGGATGTTTCTTTCAAATAAACAAATAGCAATAGCACTTGGACTTATATATTACTTTACAGTGCTTTTACAGCCCTCTCTAAGCAGTTTACGGAGTCAGCATGTTTTCCCCAACAATTTGGGTCCTCATTTTACCCACCTCTGAAGGATGGAAGACTGAGTTAACCTTGAGCCTGGTGAGATTTGAACTGCCAAATTCCAGGCAGCCTGCAGTCAGCAGAAGTAGCCTGCAGTACTGCACTCTAATCACTGCGCCACTGCAGCTTATATAAATAAATGTGGCTCAAATAAATAACTCTGGCAAATAAACAATTGAAAAAGTAAATGTGGGTGGAGAATAGTTACTTAGAAAATAGACGCTACTCACCCAGGTTTTTTTTCACATTTAGGGCTCCTAAATAATTCATTGTTTAAGTGTCAAAAGTTACATTTAACATGCCCATGCAGAAATCCATAAAAAAAGTACAAAAAGGGGTTTTTTTACCTGAAAATTTTCCTTCCTTACAGCGGGCCGGTCCACAGATCCCAACAATGGGTCTTTGGCCTCTCCCTTGCTGTTCTGGAGGAAAATTGGATCTGTGAGTTAAAAGAAGGAACAGGCTATTTGACCCAGCCCAACCACCCTTTTAATTTAATCATTATTTTAAAATTACAACAGTCATTCTTAAATGAAACCTGATAAATGTAAGCCATGCTCCACATACCACATGGATCTTGAATGGTTTGAAATCTGGAAACAGTTCATTGTGTGTATTTAATGCATTTGAAATGTGGCTATTTGGTTTATAACATGGATGTCAAACTCGCGCCAGCACATTGATATTGTGCGTTATGCATTCGGCCTGTGGGCTGCCAGTTTGACACCCCTGGTTTATAAGGCAATCCTTGAATTATAACAGTTCATATAATCACTGTTCGGCATTACAATAGCACTGAAAAAAAGTGACTTATGACCATTTTTCACACTTATAGCCATTGTAGCATCTCCATCAAAATTCACACAGTTGGCAACTGACTCATATTTATGACGGGACCATGGGGTCCCCTTTTGTAAATTTTTGAGAAGCAGTGGGGAAGCCAGATTCACTTAACATCCATGTTACTAACTTAACAACTCAGTGATTCACTGAACAACTTGTGGCAAAAAGACCATAAAATGGGGCAAAATCCACTTAACAACTTTCTCACTTAGCAACCAGTTTTTTTGGCTCAGTTATGGTCATAAGTCAAAGATTACCTGTATTTATTTGTTTATCAAATCTGTTTGATGGCCATCTTGCCATAAGGCAACTCAGGGTGGCTTACAACATTAAAACGAAACCTTAAATATATGTATAAACGTATAAAATCACAATAAACATAAACACAACATTTGTGAAGGTCTATGTTCTCCATGTCATGGTTGCCTCAAAGGTGCTTTTTTTCAAGAGCTGAAGAAGCTTCTTGGATGAGAAGTGAAACGTCTTCAAATTAAAACCAGAAAGTCCACTTGCCTCTTGAAAAAAAAACATCTTTGGGTCAACCTTTGTGACAATTTTAGAGTTTTGCTCAAAAGTTCTTAGCTTCCCTTCGTTTATTTCACTGAGTTGTATCTTTGACAATGCAAAATTAAAATTCTACTATGCTTAGAACCTTTTTTTAAATATAAATTTTATTTGGGTTTTATACCCACGCACACACACAACAATAGTAAATAAAACATTCATTCCATTCCAGTTCAATTCTATCATTAATATTAGTTAGAATCATAACGTCTTTAACAATTCTTTTCAATTGAATATCATACTTCCTTGGGAACACTTATAAACTTTCAATAATTAAGCTTAGAAACTTTTCAATACACAAATGGGCTCTTTGTTTCCAGATTTCAAACTGAGACATGCCTTCGTTTCCTGTTAGAACAAAATATTCAAACCCATTACAATTTTTCATTCGAAGAGTTTTCAATACGTGTTTCGGCATAAAATCCAGTGGCTGTTTCAGTGGGCTTGTTACCAGCAAAGGACAGATCAAAAGAAACACACAGAATTCAACTTAACTCTCTCCTCATCCCAGTCCCAATGAGAGTTTGCACTCTTGAAACTTGCACACTCTGCTTGGAACACAAAAATCCAACCGTTCCAACAACCATTCTTCATTGCACGGATTACTCCAAGTTTGACAGATTCCCTGGATTTATAGCAATGCTGAAGCATGCAAACAAGTATGAATGGAGGATACCTTAATCTCTATTGATCGATTTGCAGCTAAATTCTTAACATGGATAGGAGTGAAACTCTTAACACAAACCCATTTTGTTCCGCATCCATTAACTGAAAGATCAAATGAAATATTTGAGCATTTTCTAGATGGACCCTATTTGGAAATAGGCTGGCTGTATTACACCATGTTTTGTTCAGATGTGATTTACTGATTATAGCACATTTTATCCTAGAATGCAGAGAGTCGTAAATTATAGTTCATAAAGCATAAGCCTAAATTAAAAAAAAAAAATGGCTTAGAGGAGATCTACACAGTCATTGTATAGGAAAATTAGAGTTTACGGAGTCAGGTTAATCCGCTGTCTACTCATTCAAAAGGCCTGACTTATTCTCTATTCATTATGTCAGAAAGGTTAGCTTGCCCAACACTGCTGTTCAAATTCCTTTTTCTTGGAATACTATGTTTTAAAAATAAACCTGTTATATCAGGGGTCACCAGCCGGGGGGAAGATTCAGCCTGTGGGTTGCTTAGATCTGGCCCAAAGATCCACCCTGGAAACAGCAAAGGATTGACTCACGGTTCCTCTGCCAGTGAAAACTGAGACTTAATTGGCAGAAAGTTGCAGGGGGCCGTTGCAGCCCCCAAAAGAAGTTGTTTTCACTGGCAGGGTGTTGCAGGTGCCCATTTTTGCTGGCAGAGTGCTTGGACCACCACAGGGCCCCCAACACAAGTGACACACCCACCCTGGCCATGCCCATCCCAGTCTCCCAAGGTCAAACACAACCGTGATGTGGCCCTCAATGAAATCGAGTTTAACACTCCTGCGTTATATCATAACAAGGCTCCATCTAAGGAAATGCAATATCTAACAGCTTTGCATGACACGAAAGTGGCAGCTGGCCCAACGTGCAGACGATGGAACAATCCCACTACCATAGTTCAGTGTTTCTCAACCTTGGGAACTTTAAGATGGACTCCACCACCCAGAATTCCCTAGCTTAAGCTTGTCAAGTTTGAGAAACACTGTCATAAAGTAACACCAAGACTAACACTACTGTGCCAGTTATGATAGAGTTCCAGGTTCACTCAAACTATTGGTGATGGCCTTCGAAGCCGTACATGATGCCCAGATTACCTCAGGAGGCAACTCTGATTATCTGTTATATCTTTTAAGATTAAATGTCTGATAACAACACGGTGAAAAGGCCTCACGCCATACAAGATTAGAAGACATGGACTACATAATAGATGACCCACCTGTTGTAGGTCCTGTCCTCTTTGTTCTGACAGGTTCACGAAGCCTTTCCTACTCATCATTCTATACAACTATCAAAAGAAGTTGGTTCAACAAGTTGAACTGAGCATTTATGTCAGCTATTGGGGGAGGTTGAACATGTCTTTTTCCCTTATGAATTGGCGTTGTTCAGAGTCTGTAGATAGGGACAGATTGCAAAGACTATGAAATAAATAATTCTTAACAATATCCCTTGGCCTCATCTTCCTGAAATATCCACCCTCTATTTACTTTGAATCAACCTTTACATACAGCTGTTAACTACCAGTTTCCAAACAATGAATACATTTCCCTAGCTGAATACTACAGTGTCTATTTTGCTGGGGCAATATATTACCCTACTTTTGTGTTAATTAGTGTTGGATCTCAAGGCCAAACTATGTGTTACATGGGAGATTCATAATCACAAGCGAAGAAAAAAAAAATCCCAGAAAGAATTAGTCCATTTCCTGAAACAAAACAAAACAGAAATAAAGGGAATAAAAACATACATCGGTACTCCCAGCTGTCACTACACATATGGAAATTGAGCTGGATATATCCTATTTTTTGCATTTTAAGGCCAATATGATTGAAACAAAGATGAATTTATGGACGTTTACAGATTTTTACAGATCCATGTCTCTTTTAAACAAAGCTTTCATTTCTAACAGATGCCAAAAAACCCCAAAAATGTGGTTTTTTTTTTTCCCCCTCTACAGAGTTATTACATAAAATGTTTTAATAACCTTTCTGTGATTAAACCTAAAAAAAGTAATCATGGCCATCATTTCAAAGCCCGCTTCATTGTATTTTGGTGATTCAATTTGTAAAAGAGAAAAATTGAAACATTGCTTTGCGTTCTTTCTCGAAAACAATAGAATGAGGATGTTATTTGTGAAATAATGCTGGAGATAGGATGTGTTATTGCTTAGTAACAAGCATCTTCCCTATGATGCTACACAGTCCTGTCTGCTAATGAAAACACATTGTTGATGTTCACCCAGTTTTCATTAGGCATATTCATTGGCAAGTGGCAGCTTCTAAAACGGAGATATAGCGACATGATGAATGGCACAACTATGATGGCATACGGACGGTATTAATTATATGACATTAAAGTATTGACTAATGCAGCTCTGTCCACAACAGGAAAAGCATTAAGCACATGACTCCTGTATTTGAAAGAACAGAATGCTAAAATGAATGAAGGGAGAAGTATTCTTGGCTGCAAAGTCTACTAAGCATGCTTACTGTCAATATTCAGAAATCAAGGTTCTGACACAGATAAATAGCTTCCATTTGCCACCATCTTTCTGCAATCTTGTTACCTTTGCTTGTGCTAATGTGTTGGCCTTTCTCATGTGAGTAAGCTGCAAATATTACTGAGAAGCTAAGAGAAACCTGCCAATCATTGCCTTGCCACTGTTTCAAATATTGTAAGGAGTTGGTTTCCAGACTGATGGAGTTTTGAGAGACCATTACATAAAGAACTTGGTGAAAATTGACCTCCAAGGTTCCTTCCAAGTCTGTTATTCTTTGATTCTAGGATTATTGGTCCCAAGGCTGCTTTTTCAAAAGCTAACTGGGCTTTCTTGTTTTTCCTTGAAGACATTTCGCTTCTCATCCAGGAAGCTTCTTCCATTCTTCCATTCTTTTTTCCCCTCCAAAGTTTTTTTTTTAAATTATTTGAATGCATCTTTAAGAGAACAGTGTGGTTCCAGGTGTTTTACATTTTAAATCTATATCCATAATCACAAATATAGCTTTCTAACATTACATCATTATCTATTACCAATCGTTATATTCTCCTACATTACTTTGTATCAGTCTCTTTATTTTGGATCAGTCTCTATCTTCCTTAGTCATATATTCTTATATTCAGCATATTTACTATTTAATCTATCCATGTCAATTCATTAGTCATTAGAGCTTTCTAGCATCACATCATTATCTATTACCAATCTTTACATTCTCATACATTGCTTTGTATCAGTCTCTTTATTTTAATCAATATCTATCTTCCTTGATCTTCTTTCTTATATTCAACATATTACAGTTTCATATATTCATGTCAATTCATT